AACCCCATCAAACACCTTTGGGCTGAATTGGAACACCGAAGGCGTGCCAGGCCTAATCGCCCAACATCAGTGCCCGACCTCACTAATACTCTTGTGGCTGAATGGAAGCAAGTCCCCGCAGCAATGTTCCAACATCTAGTGGAAAGCCTTCCCAGAAGAGTGGAGGCTGTTATAGCAGCAAAAGTGTGACCAACTCCATATTAATGCCTATGAATTTGGAATGAGATGTCCGACGAGCAGGTGTCCACATACTTTTGGTCATGTAGTGTATGTCTTCACACCCCAGCATTAGTACAAGCATTTCGCTTGATTTTGATTTGACTTGGGGGAAGCGCCCTTGGCAGCAATTACAGCTGTAATTCATTTTGAATAATAGTCAACCATTGTTTTTGTCAAAATTGCTCAAGTTCAGTCATTTTTGTTGGGAATCAGGCAACATTCAAACCTGGTGTCTGATTTTCAAACCTGGTGTCTGATTTTCAAGCACATTTAATGTCAAGACCGAGACTGGACCCCTCAGGAAGCAATACTTTGTGGGATGAGTAGAAACGGGGCTATCTGAGCAGAGCCTGAAGGAAGGGAGCGATAACGTCTTGGTTATCAACATCGATTCAAATGAAGTCATTGTAAAGGGACTATATTTTTCAAAGAGCACCTTTAGTTTCTATAACTTTACAGTTTTACAGTTATTTCCCCCAATCAGGAGCACCAGCACATTTCCTATAAAACATTTAACAAGCACAATATCAACCAGAACAAACCAGACACAAAGCCTATTCAATGTTAAAATTATAACTTTATTTTTCGCATACAAACGTTCATTTGATAACTGGTACTCATTTTGGCTCCCATAATTCATTTAGTAACCATAGAGTTTTAAATTCCATCAAAGTTGAGAACGAACCGATTCTCTTCATAATGTATTTACAAGCACATATCACATCTGGTATCAAACAATAACAATACACTCACCAAAGACACAAGGCTGGTTTCCAGCTCTCTGGTTTCCAGCTCTCTTTCAAATCCTTGTATAAAGAGTCACTTTTCAGTTGGATTGTTGTTTATCAAGGCAGAGTCGGAATATGGCACCCTATTCCATAGCCTGATCAGCCCAACAGTAGTGCACTAGATAGGGTACAGGGTGCCATTTGGGACACAGCCAGAGTCAGGAAACAAATTAGAGTTTAGTTTCATCGGGACTTCAAATCGTCTCAGAGAGAAGTTTTTTTTTGTATTTTTGTTTTTTTTTAAAGAGGAAGTTTATTGAAAATTGTCACTGTCATGCAGGAGTTTCAAACGTCATGTTTCCTTCTAACACATATGTAGTGTACTCTCACACATAGCTTCTCCATCCCAAATGGCACCCTATTCCCTATATAGGACACTACTTTCGACCAGAGCCCCTAGGAAAGCCCATAAGGCTCTGGTCAAAAATAGTGCCCTATGTAGGGGATAGGGTGATACATGTACGCTCCTGCTCTGATTGTAGTCTTAAGGAATCAGACGTTCATAAACACAAGACTATTAAAAAGCACAGGCATGCAGAGAATCCCTAGTTAAATCTACAGTCCTACGACAACGTAAAACACTCACTAGTAGCAGGAAGACGAACGGACGCGTTCCAGGCAGACACAGGTTCAGAAAAGAACAGGCAACGTAACACTCACTAGTAGCAGGAAGACAAACAGCAGGAAGACGAACGGACGCGTTCCAGGCTGACTACATTTCAGACGCATGCCAGATTTCATTCCAGCTGGATCAGTGTTCGTTAACCACATCATATGTTATAGCAATCTGATGCCCGACTGCACGCAACCATTGGTTGACGCAATGCATTGACTGCAATATAGTTGACCTGGAACGCGTCCTATAGTTTCAGAAGTGATCATGAGGCATTGCAGGCTGTTATACTGGGGCAGAACACTGAATACTGCCTCAGTAGATATTTACCTTTAAAAAACGCTCCAATCAAAACTCTCATAGCGTTATTAAGGTGTCAAAGGTAAATACTTCATACAGCTGCTAAAGGAAGGCGTACACACTGCCCAGTCAGAAAACAACATCCTGTCCCAAATGGCACCCTATTCACTTTATAGTGCACTATTAAAGTAGTGCACTGTATAGGAAATAGGGTGTCATTAAATCAAGCCATACATACTGAGCTACAAATGCTGAGATAGGGACAAGACAAAAGTGTTAGGGTGGTAAAACTAATTAAGATCACCATTCAACAATATAACTACACAATAACTTTATAAACCCAAGATAAATAAATACATAAAGTATCTCTATATACACTAAATAAACGTTGGCGTCATCAAACCAGGAGCTGGGGGTTAAAGGTACAGTGGGGGAAAAAAGTATTTAGTCAGCCACCAATTGTGCAAATTCTCCCACTTAAAAAGATGAGAGAGGCCTGTCATTTTCATCATAGGTACACGTCAACTATGACAGACAAATTGAGAAAAAATAATCCAGAAAATCACATTGTAGGATTTTTAATGAATTTATTTGAAAATACTTATTTTCCACCATAATTTGCAAATAAATTCATAAAAAATCCTACAATGTGATTTTCTGGATTATTTTTTCTCAATTTGTCTGTCATAGTTGACGTGTACCTATGATGAAAATGACAGGCCTCTCTCATCTTTTTAAGTGGGAGAACTTGCACCATTGGTGGCTGACTAAATACTTTTTTTCCCCACTGTACAATATCAAAGTGTGCGTCCCAAATGGCCCCCTATTCCCTATATAGGGCACTACTTTAGACCAGGGCCCATAGCATTGGTTCATTATTTTCGTCCCTATGGGAACATAAGGCTTCCACAAGAGAGCACTCTAGGGATCCACTCAAAAACAGTGCACTATATAGGGAAAAGGGGGTCATTTGGGACCATTAAGGGTAACCATAGTAGCATTAGCGTGTTAGGTAAATATAGCGATACTGAATCTGTGGAGCCAGAGGAGACCGACAGGAAACATTTCAGTTAGCAGGGTTGGGTAGGTTACTTTCTGAATGCAGTTACTAGTTACCTGTTAAAAATGGTAATCAGTAACGTACCTCAGTAACTTTTGGATGACTTCCCCTTTAGAGGCATTAGAAGAGGAAAAAGAGGATCCATCAAACACATTTGGTGTCTGACAGAGTGGTGTCTGACATCAGAGTGGTGTCTGACATCAGAGTGGTGTCTGACATCAGAGTGGTGTCTGACATCAGAGTGGTGTCTGACAGAGTGGTGTCTGACATCAGAGTGGTGTCTGACAGAGTGGTGTCTGACAGAGTGGTGTCTGACAGAGTGGTGTCTGACATCAGAGTGGTGTCTGACAGAGTGGTGTCTGACATCAGAGTGGTGTCTGACAGAGTGGTGTCTGACATCAGAGTGGTGTCTGACATCAGAGTGGTGTCTGACATCAGAGTGGTGTCTGACATCAGAGTGGTGTCTGACATCAGAGTGGTGTCTGACAGAGTGGTGTCTGACATCAGAGTGGTGTCTGACATCAGAGTGGTGTCTGACATCAGAGTGGTGTCTGACAGAGTGGTGTCTGACATCAGAGTGGTGTCTGATTTATGGTCAGACTCACTCAGGTGGGACAAAGTCAAACTCGTCCCTTTTTTCAATGCTGAATTCAATGTCATTGAGAAAACAGAAAGGTGTCAATGTATTTCCCCCCCCCCCCACAAACATCCTTTCTGAATTAAAAAGTAAACCCGAGAAGTAATCATCTAGCTTTTCAAAAGTATCTGTAATCCGATTACAACATTTTTGCTTGTTACATATTTTTCTGTAATCAGATTACCTGTAATCAGTTCCTCCCCAACCCTGACCGTTAGTCAACACACCTGTAATCAGTTCCTCCCCAACCCTGACCGTTAGTCAACACACCTGTAATCAGTTCCTCCCCAACCCTGACCGTTAGTCAACACACCTGTAATCAGTTCCTCCCCAACCCTGACCGTTAGTCAACACACCTGTAATCAGTTCCTCCCCAACCCTGACCGTTAGTCAACACACCTGTAATCAGTTCCTCCCCAACCCTGACCGTTAGTCAACACACCTGTAATCAGTTCCTCCCCAACCCTGACCGTTAGTCAACACACCTGTAATCAGTTCCTCCCCAACCCTGACCGTTAGTCAACACACCTGTAATCAGTTCCTCCCCAACCCTGACCGTTAGTCAACACACCTGTAATCAGTTCCTCCCCAACCCTGACCGTTAGTCAACACACCTGTAATCAGTTCCTCCCACCCGTAGTCAACACACCTGTAATCCTCCCCAACCCTGACCGTTAGTCAACACACCTGTAATCAGTTCCTCCCCAACCCTGACCGTTAGTCAACACACCTGTAATCTCCCAACCCTGACCGTTAGTCAACACACCTGTAATCAGTTCCTCCCCAACCCTGACCGTTAGTCAACACACCTGTAATCAGTTCCTCCCCAACCCTGACCGTTAGTCAACACACCTGTAATCAGTTCCTCCCCAACCCTGACCGTTAGTCAACACACCTGTAATCAGTATAGATCAGGGGGCTTTAACTACTGTTCTGCAGAGCTACCGGGGGTGCAGGCTTTCGTTTCTTCACAACACTAATACACCTGTTTCATGGTTTGGACCAACTTTCCGTGTTGATTATTTCAATCCTGGTTGGAGGATTTCGGATTTTCTACGTATTTCCTTCTGACTCCGGGAATCTTCCAACCGGGATTTCGGGAAAACAGGGAATTTATTGAAAGTTCCCGGAATTTTGCAACCCTACGGTTTTCATTACACATCCACAGTACACATTCAAAACTAGTTTGCCATGTCAGTTCATTTCGGCAAACGAGTTCAACTTCAAAAAAAATTCTACACGGTGAGTCGTTTACAAAGTTATAGGAAAAGGCACGTATGGTTGGTATTAATGGAGGCTCCTCAGAGGAGAAAGGGGAGGACGTCATCTACTGACCGCCACTGCTTGGTATAGAATATAAATAAGCACTATTTACAGAGAATAAGTTAGTTTCTATACAGTGTCTGTCTGTTCAACGTAATAACCTGCTAGACGCTGGTTTTAAAATGACTCAAATCGGCTCAACTCCTCCTCAGCCCCCTCTGCTGAGAACCATAACCCCACATCCTTCCCCTTGCCTTTATATTCCCCTTGTAGGTTCCTGTGAGACTTATAGCTGTACATTTAGTGTCCACAGCCTGTTGTGAAATCTATTTGGCCTAAGTAGTAGCACACTAACTATTGATTTGGTATAACTTTGATTATATTAAGCAGAAATAAGTTTCCTAAGACTCAATCAGTATTAAGGTTCAACCAGGGGGGTTGTGTTAGAAGGAATAGGGCTTTCATTTCCATATCCACCTGTTTAAAGTGTTGTCTTGCCAAAGACAAATGACAATTCAATAAGATGTTGGCAACAGAGCAGAAACATACTGGTACTCAGGCTAGGTTCAGAAGGTGTTGGCAACAGAGCAGAAACATACTGGTACTCAGGCTAGGTTCAGAAGGTGTTGGCAACAGAGCAGAAACAGACTGGTACTCAGGCTAGGTTCAGAAGGTGTTGGCAACAGAGCAGAAACAGACTGGTACTCAGGCTAGGTTCAGAGGGTGTTGGCAACAGAGCAGAAACAGACTGGTACTCAGGCTAGGTTCAGAAGGTGTTGGCAACAGAGCAGAAACATACTGGTACCCAGGCTAGGTTCAGAAGGTGTTGGCAACAGAGCAGAAACATACTGGTACTCAGGCTAGGTTCAGAAGGTGTTGGCAACAGAGCAGAAACATACTGGTACTCAGGCTAGGTTCAGAAGGTGTTGGCAACAGAGCAGAAACATACTGGTACCCAGGCTAGGTTCAGAAGGTGTTGGCAACAGAGCAGAAACATACTGGTACTCAGGCTAGGTTCAGAAGGTGTTGGCAACAGAGCAGAAACATACTGGTACCCAGGCTAGGTTCAGACCCCACAGAGAAGGGAAACACAGGTGACATTTGTAACAACATGTCTGTTTTCTGCAGTAAAGAGCTTGCTACAAGGCAGCACAAAACATACAGATTAGATTGCTTTAGAATCTTCAGTTTGGGGGACGACAGTTTTAAGAAACAAAACATTTAAAAACATCACCAGAAATTGAGCTTGTTATCCTGGTATTCAAAGATATAGATGTTCACAAAACTACTGCTAAAGTAACTACTGCTAAAGAAAAGTTTTTTGCTAAAAATATTAAAAGATTACCGAACATAGACCATAACACGGTCAACTGGACCGTCCATTGTGTTAAATAAGGATCTGCAGGTGGGTAGATTGGGTGGAGGGCTGCTGGGTGGAGAGCTGCTGGGTGGAGAGCTGCTGGGTGGAGAGCTGCTGGGTGGAGAGCTGCTGGGTGGAGAGCTGCTGGGTGGAGGCCTCCATGGTGGTTACAGTGGTCAACCTGACTGTTAAGACTAGACTGTGGGCTCGTTCCAGAACGTCTATGTTGCAGTCGCTCTGTACAGCTCAGTGAGATGTGATCATCTGTGCAGAATGACTGCAACACAGACGCCCTGAAACATACCTCGTCTCTACAACCATATATAGACAGCAGTGTGTGGACACACCTTCAAATTAGTTGATTCAATTTCAGCCACACCCGTTGCTGACAGGTGTATCAAATCGAGCACACAGTCATGCAATCTCCATAGACAAACATTGGCAGTAGAATGGCCCGTACTGAAGAGCTCAGTGACTTTCAACGTGGCACCGTCACAGGATGCCACCTTTCCAACAAGTCAGTTCATCAAATTTCTGCCCTGCTAGAGCTGCCCCGGTCAACTGTAAGTGCTGAAACGTCTAGGAGCAAACAAATGCTCAGCCGCGAAGTGGTAGAGGCCACACAAGCTCGCAGAACGGGACCGCCGAGTGCTGAAGAGCGTAAAAAATTATCTGTCCTCGGTTGCAACACTCACTAGCGAGTTCCAAACTGCCTCTGGAAGCAACGTCAGAACCACGTAGACACACAAAGATCCAGTCTTCAGTGTGTCTTTGCTGCTTCCCAGCCAGTGATTGAGCGGCACTCTTCAGGCGGTCAGCCCTCTTTTCAGAACAGGGTTGCGTTCCGTGACATACTGAAACGTTCTACGTAATATGTTGATCTGAACGTAACATAACCATATATGGTGTGATAAATAAGGTCGTTTACTCAGGCCGTTTTATTGAAGAAAACGGTCACGGTTCCTGTCTGTGTAAGTGGGTGTTCCCCTCTCTGGCGTGAGCATGCTTTTCCCCACGTGAGTTCGGTTCCTCCGTAATATCTGGGCATGCTCACGTGAGAGAGGGAACAGCCCCACCCCGTCCAGTGAAATGTCTCGCTCTGGGGCACCCCATCCGCGGGCGGGGGCAATATGCAGACCAGGGTGGCCCCCGCCCCGAAACCCCCCAAATATGAATAAGTGGCTCTGAGTGGGGCGTCTCGCGTTCTCTGACATAACGTTCTGTGGTACTGAACGCAGCCCTGTCAGTGACCTTGTTCTCCACCAGGGCGGCGACCTGCTGTAGACGATAGGCCACAGGTCAGAAGTGAGGGGTTAGAGGTCAGTGACCTTGTTCTCCACCAGGGCGGCGACCTGCTGTAGACGATAGGCCAGCTGCATCTTCTGGCCCGCTGCATCCTCCTCCAGAGACATGATGATCTACAGACAGACAACAGCATTAGTACTTATACAGGAGTGTGTGTGTTGTGTGTGTTGTGTGTGTGTGTGTGTGTGTGTGTGTCTGTGTGTTCTGTGTTTGTGTGTGTTGTGTGTGTGTGGTGTGTTCTGTGTTTGTGTGTGTCTGTGTGTGTTCTGTGTTTGTGTGTGTTCTGTGTGTGTGGTATGTATGTGTGTGTGTGTGTGTCTGTGTGTGTGTGGTGTGTTCTGTATGTGTGTGTGGTGTGTTCTGTCTGTGTGTGTGTGTGTGTCTGTGTGTGTGTGTGTGTGGTGTGTTCTGTCTGTGTGTGTGTCTGTGTCTCTGTCTATATACCTGGTCGTAGTATTTGTGTCTCTGTCTATATACCTGGTCGTAGTATTTGTCTGTGTGTCTCTGTCTATATACCTGGTCGTAGTATTTGTGTCTGTGTGTCTCTGTCTATATACCTGGTCGTAGTATTTGTGTCTCTGTCTATATACCTGGTCGTAGTATTTGTGTCTCTGTCTATATACCTGGTCGTAGTATTTGTGTCTGTGTCTCTGTCTATATACCTGGTCGTAGTATTTGTCTGTGTGTCTCTGTCTATATACCTGGTCGTAGTATTTGTTGATGTGTGTCTCTGTCTATATACCTGGTTGTAGTATTTGTCTGTGTGTCTCTGTATATATACCTGGTCGTAGTATTTGTGTGTCTCTGTCTATATACCTGGCCGTAGTATTTGTGTGTCTCTGTCTATATACCTGGTCGTAGTATTTGTGTCTCTGTGTCTCTGTATATATACCTGGTCGTAGTATTTGTGTGTCTCTGTCTATATACCTGGTCGTAGTATTTGTCTCTGTGTCTCTGTCTATATACCTGGTCGTAGTATTTGTCTCTGTGTCTCTGTCTATATACCTGGTCGTAGTATTTGTCTCTGTGTCTCTGTCTATATACCTGGTCGTAGTATTTGTCTCTGTGTCTCTGTCTATATACCTGGTCGTAGTATTTGTTGATGTACTTGTACAGCTCAAGCAGAGCCACCAGACTGTTCATGTCTGATCCAAAACTCTGAAAAGTCAGACATGGAAACACAATGTTACAATCTACTGGTTACGGACCGGCACTGTGCTATACATTACAACAAAATGCTAAATACAATTTAATTTAACTTAATAGACTCCATAATAATCTCAGAGTAAAGTAGAGTAGAGTAGAGTAGGGCTGGGTTGAGTAGAGTGGATAGGAGGGGAGGAGGGGAGGGGAGGAGGGGAGAGGATAGAGGAGGGGAGAGGATAGGGGAGGGGAGGGGAGGGGGGAGAGGAGAGGAGAGGAGAGGAGAGGAGAGGAGAGGAGAGGAGAGGAGAGGAGAGGAGAGGAGAGGAGAGGAGAGGAGAGGAGAGGAGAGGAGAGGAGAGGAGAGGAGAGGAGAGGAGAGGAGAGGATAGGGAAGGAGGGGAGAGAATAGGGGAGAAGGGGAGAGGAGAGGAGAGGAGAGGAGAAGGGAGAGGGGGAGAAGGGGGGATGGGAGAGGATAGGGGAGGAGAGGGAGAAGGGAGAGGGGAGGAGGGGAGAGGAGAGAGGATAGGGGAGGAGGAGAGGGGAGGAGAGGAAGGGAGAGGAGAGGATGGGGGAGGAGGAGAGGAGAGGAGAGGAGAGGAGGGGAGGGAGAGGAGAGGAGAGGAGAGGAGAGGAGAGGAGAGGAGAGGAGAGGAGAGGAGAGGAGAGGAGAGGAGAGGAGAGGAGAGGAGAGGAGAGGAGAGGAGGGGAGAGGAGAGGAGAGGAGAGGAGAGGAGGAGGGGAGAGTTTAAATCCCCACTCACCCCAGACAGCTCTGTTAGAGTAGAGTTCATCTCTTGGTAACAGCCAGACGCTGCACTGTGGATGTCACTGTAATACCTGGAACAATACCCACAGAACACACTGTAAAATAACTAGCTCCAATAACTAGCTCCAATAACTAGCTCCAATATCTAGCTCCAATAACTAACTCCAATAACTAGCTCCAATAACTAGCTCCAATATCTAGTGCCAATAACTAGCTCCAATAACACATTCCATGTCCAGGAGGCAACCTGTGATGAATTTGTCAAGAGACTGAAATCTAGCTCCAATAACTACCTCCAATATCTAGCGCCAATAACTAGCTCCAAAAACTAGCTCCAATAACTAGCTCCAATATCTAGCTCCAATAACCTAGCTCCAATAACTAGCTCCAATAACTAGCGCCAATAACTAGCTCCAATAACTAGCTCCAATAACTAGCTCCAATAACTAGCGCCAATAACTAGATCCAATAACTAGCTTCAATAACTAACTCCAATATCTTGCTCCAATAACTAGCTCCAATAACTAGCTCCAATATCTAGTGCCAATAACTAGCTCCAATAACACATTCCATGTCCAGGAGGCAACCTGTGATGAATTTGTCAAGAGACTGAAATCTAGCTCCAATAACTACCTCCAATATCTAGCGCCAATAACTAGCTCCAAAAACTAGCTCCAATAACTAGCTCCAATAACTAGCTCCAATAACTAGCTCCAATATCTAGCTCCAATAACTAGCTCCAATAACCTAGCTCCAATAACTAGCTCCAATAACCTAGCTCCAATAACTAGCTCCAATAACTAGCTCCAATATCTAGCTCCAATAACTAGCTCCAATATCTAGCTCCAATAACTAGCGCCAATAACTAGCTCCAATAACTAGCTTCAATAACTAACTCCAATATCTTGCTCCAATAACTAGCTCCAATAACTAGCTCCAATATATAGTGCCAATAACTAGCTCCAATAACTAGCTCCAATAACACATTCCATGTCCAGGAGGCAAACTGTGATGAATTTGTTCAAGAGACTGAAATCTAGCTCCAATAACTACCTCCAATATCTAGCGCCAATAACTAGCTCCAAAAACTAGCTCCAATAACTAGCTGCAATAACTAGCTGCAATAACTAGCTCCAATATCTAGCGCCAATAACTAGCTGCAATAACTAGCGCCAATAACTACCGCCAATAACTAGCTGCAATAACTTAGCTGCAATAACTAGCTGCAATAACCTAGCTCCAATAACCTAGCTCCAATAACCTAGCTGCAATAACCTAGCTGCAATAACCTAGCTCCAATAACTAGCTGCAATAACCTAGCTCCAATAACTAGCTGCAATAACTAGCTCCAATAACTAGCCCCAATAACCTACCTTCAATAACTAGCGCCAATATCTAGCGGCAATAACTAGCTCCAATAACTACCTCCAATATCTAGCGCCAATAACTACCTCCAAAATCTAGCGCCAATATCTAGCGCCAATAACTAGCTCCAATAACTAGCTCCAATAACTAGCTCCAATATCTACCTTCAATAACTAGCTCCAATATCTAGCTCCAATAACCTAGCTCCAATAACCTAGCTCCAATAACCTAGCTCCAATAACCTAGCTCCAATAACTAGCTCCAATAACTAGCTCCAATAACTACCGCCAATAACTAGCTCCAATAACTAGCTCCAATAACTAGCTCCAATATCTACCTTCAATAACCTAGCTCCAATAACTAGCTCCAATAACTAGCTCCAATATCTAGCGCCAATAACTAGCGCCAATAACTAGCGCCAATAACTAGCTCCAATAACTACCTTCAATAACTAGCTCCAATATCTACCTTCAATAACCTAGCTCCAATAACTAGCTCCAATAACCTAGCTCCAATAACTAGCTCCAATAACTAGCTGCAATAACCTAGCTGCAATAACTAGCGCCAATAACCTAGCTCCAATAACTAGCTGCAATAACCTAGCTCCAATAACCTAGCGCCAATAACCTAGCGCCAATAACTAGCTCCAATAACTAGCTGCAATAACCTAGCTGCAATATCTAGCTCCAATAACTAGCTGCAATAACTAGCTCCAATAACCTAGCTCCAATAACTAGCTGCAATAACCTAGCTCCAATAACTAGCTGCAATAACCTAGCTCCAATAACTAGCTCCAATAACCTAACTCCAATAACCTAGCTCCAATAACTAGCTCCAATAACCTAGCTCCAATAACTAGCGCCAATAACTAGCGCCAATAACTAGCTCCAATAACTAGCGCCAATAACTAGCTGCAATAACTAGCTGCAATAACTAGCTCCAATAACCTAGCTCCAATAACCTAGCTCCAATAACCTAGCGCCAATAACTAGCGCCAATAACTAGCGCCAATAACTAGCTGCAATAACTAGCTGCAATAACTAGCTCCAATAACCTAGCTCCAATAACTAGCTCCAATAACCTAGCTCCAATAACCTAGCTCCAATAACTAGCTGCAATAACCTAGCTCCAATAACCTACCTTCAATAACTAGCTGCAATAACTAGCTCCAATAACCTAGCTCCAATATCTAGCGCCAATAACTAGCTGCAATAACCTAGCTCCAATAACCTAGCTGCAATAACCTAGCTCCAATAACTAGCTCCAATAACCTAGCTCCAATAACTAGCTCCAATAACTAGCTCCAATAACTCCTGAGTAAGAATTATAATCATGTCTGAATACAGAGTTCCCTGTTATTCTATTGGTTCATTAAGAGTAAATGTATTTCTGTCTGTCTCACCTCTCAACTAGCTGTTTGTATCTGGGGATCTCTCTGGCGTAGAGCAGCTTATTCACTGGAGAGTCCTGTTGGGAGAAAATCAAAATCCTGATGTTACACAGATTATGTTTGTCAAAAAAAACAAAACCACCTTCTTCATCATCTTCCTAACGACACAAAGTCTCCTCTTCCTCTGCGTTTATCCTGGTGCTGACGGAAACATGGATCACCACTGAAAACACTGCTACTCCTACTGCTCTCTCCTCGTCTGACCATGTGTTCTCGCATACCCCGAGAGCATCTGGTCAGAGGGGTGGTGGTACAGGAATCCTCATCTCTCCCAAGTGGACATTCTCAATTTTTCCCCTAACCCATCTGTCTATCTCCTCATTTGAATTCCATGCTGTCACAGTCACTAGCCCATTTAAGCTTAATATCCTTGTCATCTATCGCCCTCCAGGTTCCCTTGGAGAGTTCATCAATGAGCTTGACGCCTTGATAAGTTCCTTTCCTGAGGATGGCTCACCCCTCACAGTTTTGGGGGATTTCAACCTCCCTATGTCCACATTTGACTCATTTCTCTCTGCCTCCTCCTTTCCACTCCTCTCCTCTTTTGACCTCACCCTCTCACCGTCCCCCCCTACTCACAAGGCAGGCAATACGCTTGACCTCATCTTCACTAGATGCTGCTCCTCTACTAATCTCACTGCAACTCCCCTCCATGTCTCCGACCACTACTTTGTTTCCTTTTCTCTCTCGCTCTCCTCCCACACTACTCACTCTGCCCCTATACAGATGGTAATGCGCCGCCGCAACCTTCGCTCTCTCTCTCCCACTACTCTCTCCTCTTCCATCCTATCATCTCTTCCCTCTGCTCAATCCTTCTCCCTCCAATCTCCTGATTCTGCCTCCTCAACCCTCCTCTCCTCCCTTTCTGCATCCTTTGACTCTCTGTGTCCCCTATCCTCCCGGCCGGCTCGGTCCTCCCCTCCAGCTCCGTGGCTTGATGACTCATTGCGAGCTCACAGAACAGAGCTCCGGGCAGCGGAGCGGAAATGGAAGAAAACTAAACTCCCTGCCGACCTGGCATCTTTCACTCCCTCCTCTCTTACAGTTTCTTCATCGGGGCGGCCGAGAAGGAAACCGCGACACACGCGAAAGGCCAAGGCAGCGGCCGCGAACCACGAGGGAAGCAGCGGTGGCACAGGTGCCGCCCGAAGTGGAATCCGACACACCAACAAAACCACCAAAAATCACAAAAAAAAAAGAAATAAACAAAAAAAAAGCAAACACAAGAAAGAAACAAGAAACACAAAAACGAAAGAAAAACACAAAAAAACAAAATACCAAAACCAAAAAGAAGAGGAGAAAAGAAAAAAACCAAACCACCCAAACCCCACCACACCCAAAACCCCCCACCCCCCCCCACACACCCCCCACCCCACCCCACAGCACCCCCAACCCCCACCCACCCCCCACACCCACACCCCCCCCCCCCCCCCCACCCCCCCCCCCCCCTCCTATCTCTATGTGGATGACTAGTCAAACACTTGAAAGAAGGTTGACGACATCGATCTCGGTTGTTAGTCTAATGACACTGCTGGTCCTGCTCACACTGCCCTACCCTATGCTTTGACTTCTTTCTCCCCTCTCTCTGCAGATAAAATCCTGCGACTTGTGACTGCAGGCCGCCCCAACAACCTGCCCGCTTGACCCCACCCCCTCCTCCCTTCTCCAGACCATCTCCGGTGACCTTATCCCCTACCTCACCTCGCTGATCAACTCATCCTTGACCGCTGGCCATGTCCCTTCCGTCTTCAAGAGAGCGAGAGTTGCTCCCCTTCTCAAAAAACCAACACTCGACCCCACTGATGTCAACAACTACAGACCAGTATCCCTTCTTTCTTTTCTTTCCAAAACTATTGAGCGTGCCGTCTTTAGCCAACTCTCTTGCTATCTCTCTCAGAATGACCTTCTTGATCCAAACCAATCAGGTTTCAGGACTGGTCATTCAACTGAGACTGCTCTTCTCTGTGTCACGGAGACTCTCCGCACTGCTAAAGCTAACTCTCTCTCCTCTGCTCTTGTCCTTCTAGACCTGTCTGCTGCCTTTGATACTGTGAACCATCAGATCCTCCTCTCCACCCTCTCCGAGCTGGGCATCTCCGGCGCGGCTCACTCCTGGATTGCGTCCTACCTGACCGGTCGCTCCTACCAAGTGGCGTGGCGAGAAGCTGTCTCCGCACCACGTGCTCTCACCACTGGTGTCCCCCAGGGCTCAGTTCTAGGCCCTCTCCTTTTCTCCCTATACACCAAGTCACTTGGCTCTGTCATATCCTCACACGGCCTCTCCTATCATTGCTACGCTGACGATACACAAACTAATCTTCTCCTTTCCCCCTTCTGATAACCAGGTGGCGAATCGCATCTCTGCATGTCTGGCAGACATATCAGTATGGATGACGGATCACCACCTCAAGCTGAACCCTGGCAAGACGGAGCTGCTCTTCCTCCCGGGGAAGGACTGCCCGTTCCATGCCTCGCCATCACGGTTGACAACTCCGTTGTGTCCTCCTCCCAGAGTGCGAAGAGCCTTGGCGTGACCCTGGACAACACCCTGTCGTTCTCCGCTAACATCAAGGCGGTGACCCGCTCCTGCAGGTTCATGCTCTACAACATTCGGAGAGTACGACCCTGCCTTACACAGGAAGCGGCACAGGTCCTAATCCAGGCACTTGTCATCTCCCGTCTGGATTACTGCAACTCGCTGTTGGCTGGCCTCCCTGCATGTGCCATTAAACCCCTACAACTCATCCAGAATGCCGCAGCCCGTCTGGTGTTCAACCTTCCCAAGTTCTCTCACGTCACCCCCCTCCTCCTTACACTCCACTGGCTTCCAGTTGAAGCTCGCATCCGTTACAAGACCATGGTGCTTGCCTTTGGAGCAGCGAGGGGAACGGCACCTCTGTACCTTCGGGCTCTGATCAGTCCCTAGACCCAAACGAGGGCATTGCGTTCATCCACCTCTGGCCTGCTGGCTCCCCTTCCTCTGCGGAAGCATAGTTCCCGCTCAGCCCAGTCAAAACTGTTCGCTGCTCTGGCACCCCAATGGTGGAACAAGCTCCCTCACGACGCCAGGACAGCGGAGTCACTCACCACCTTCCGGAGACATTTGAAACCCCACCTCTTTAAGGAATACCTGGGATAGGATAAAACAATCCTTCTACCCCCCCCCCACACACACAGCGGAGTCGCTCACCACCTTCCGGAGACATTTGAAACCCCACCTCTTTAAGGAATACCTGGGATAGGATAAAGTAATCCTTCTACCCCCCCCCCCCCCCACCCCACAGCGGAGTCACTCACCACCTTCCGGAGACATTTGAAACCCTACCTCTTTAAGGAATACCTGGGATAGGATAAAGTAATCCTTCTACCCCTGTTGATTACTGATTCCCTCTAATGTATTTTGAAAATACCATCTCTAAATAATAAATGCATGAATAAATAAACTAATGAATAAATACAAGTGTTTTATTTATTTTATAAAATGACTGACCCGTCCGACTTTGTGTTCGGAGGTGGTGCAGGAGTCGATGAATGTCTGTGCGATGACAGAGAGAACAGCGTCCACGCTATCGGTCACCTGGACGTCAAACACAAACTGAGGGTTCTTCAGGATGTTGACCCAGAACCTCAGAGGCAGGCTGCAGGGGAGGGAGGGAGGGAGGAGAGCTGGTTATCCAGGAATATTTTCCTTCCTTTACTGAAGGAAATACAATGACCATGTTCAAGAATATCATATTTGTTCAGTTGCTGATCACCGACAGAGCAACCTGAACAATAACGAGCTGTTACTTAGGATGCAAGGTGATCAGTCAGTCTGCTCAGGGTGATCAGTCAGTCTGCTCAGGGTGATCAGTCAGTCTGCTCAGGGTGATCAGTCAGTCTGCTCAGGGTGATCAGTCAGTCTGCTCAGGGTGATCAGTCAGTCTGCTCAGGGTGATCAGTCAGTCTGCTCAGGGTGATCAGTCAGTCTGCTCAGGGTGATCAGTCAGTCTGCTCAGTCACTGATTACAATGCAGTCAATCTCAGAAACGACCATTGAAAGTCTCAAAGTCTTCTCTCTTTGCAGTGACCTTCTATGAAGAGAGAAGACTTTCATTTTATGAAGTTATACAGTATGTTATGTTAGACAGCACCTCACCAAAAGCTGTTTAAAAAAATTTTATTTACACTTTACAGAAGGACAAACCGGTAACCAGGACCCAGTGACTGACTGACCTGTTGGTCTTCCAGATGTGTACGGTCTCAGGGTCGTCGATGCCGTGTTTCTCCGCCATGTCATCCAGGAAGTCAAAGAAGAAGCGCACAGCGATGGGAGGAGGGCGCTTGGTGTTGAGGATCGCTACGAACACATCGTCTACAAACTTCTGCAACGTTCCCTGGAGGGGAGAGAGTTATGACATCCTTTAGACACACAGCTAGGTATCTATACTGTACCAGCTAGATATATATACTGTACCAGCTAGATATATATACTGTACCAGCTAGGTATATATACTGTACCAGCTAGGTATATATACTGTACCAGCTAGGTATATATACTGTACCAGCTAGATATATATACTGTACCAGCTAGGTATATATACTGTACCAGCTAGATATATATACTGTACCAGCTAGGTATATATACTGTACCAGCTAGATATCTATACTGTACCAGCTAGGTATATATACTGTACCAGCTAGATATATATACTGTACCAGCTAGGTATATATACTGTACCAGCTAGATATATATACTGTACCAGCTAGGTATATATACTGTACCAGCTAGATATCTATACTGTACCAGCTAGGTATATATACTGTACCAGCTAGATATATATACTGTACCAGCTAGGTATATATACTGTACCAGCTAGATATCTATATCACAAAACTGATATTGCGCCAATACAGTGAGGGAAAAAAAATATTTGATCCCCTGCTGATTTTGTACGTTTGCCCACTGACAAAGACATGATCAGTCTATAATTTTAATGGTAGGTTTATTTGAACAGTGAGAGACAGAATAACAACTAAAAAATCCAGAAAAACGAATGTCGAAAATGTTAGAAAATAATTTGCATTTTAATGAGGGAAATGAGTATTTGACCCCCTCTCAATCAGAAAGATTTCTGGCTCCCAGGTGTCTTTTATACAGGTAAGGAGCTGAGATTAGGAGCACACTCTTAAAGGGAGTGCTCCTTATCTCAGTTTGTTACCTGTATAAAAGACATCTGTCCACAGAAGCAATCAATCAATCAGATTCCAAACTCTCCACCATGGCCAAGACCAAAGAGCTCTCCAAGGATGTCAGGGACAAGATTGTAGACCTACACAAGGCCGGAATGGGCTACAAGACCATCGCCAAGCAGCTTGGTGAGAAGGTGACAACAGTTGGTGCGATTATTCGCAAATGGAAGAAACACAAAATAACTGTCAATCTCCCTCGGCCTGGGGCTCCATGCAAGATCTCACCTCGTGGAGTTGCAATGATCATGAGAACGGTGAGGAATCAGCCCAGAACTACACGGGAGGATCTTGTCAATGATCTCAAGGCAGCTGGGACCATAGTCACCAAGAAAACAATTGGTAACACACTATGCCGTGAAGGACTGAAATCCTGCAGCACCCGCAAGGTCTCCCTGCTCAAGAAATCACATATACAGGGCCGTCTGAAGTTTGCCAATGAACATCTGAATGATTCAGAGGAGAACTGGGTGAAAGTGTTGTGGTCAGATGAGACCAAAATCGAGCTCTTTGGCATCAACTCAACTCGCCGTGTTTGGAGGAGGAGGAATGCTGCCTATGACCCCAAGAACACCATCCCGACCGTCAAACATGGAGGTGGAAACATTATGCTTTGGGGGTGTTTTTCTGCTAAGGGGACAGGACAACTTCACCGCATCAAAGGGATGATGGACGGGGCCATGTACCGTCAAATCTTGGGTGAGAACCTCCTTCCCTCAGCCAGGGCATTGAAAATGGGTCGTGGATGGGTATTCCAGCATGACAATGACCCAAAACACACGGCCAAGGCAACAAAGGAGTGGCTCAAGAAGAAGTACATTAAGGTCCTGGAGCGGCCTAGCCAGTCTCCAGACCTTAATCCCATAGAAAATCTGTGGCAAACGTCAGGCTCGAAACCTTAATGACTTGGAGAAAATCTGCAAAGAGGAGGGGCGGCAGGTAGCTTAGTGGTTAAGAGCGTTGTGCCAGTAACCGAAAGGTCGCTGGTTCTAATCCCCGAGCCGACTAGGTGAAAAATCTGTCGATGTGCCCTTGAGCAAGGCACTTAACCCTAATTGCTCATGTAAGTCGCTCTGGATAAGAGCGTCTGCTAAATGACAAAAAATAAATAAAAAATAGGAGTGGGACAAAATCCCTCCTGAGATGTGTGCAAACCTGGTGGCCAACTACAAGAAACGTCTGACCTCTGTGATTGCCAACAAGGGTTTTGCCACCATGTACTAAGTCATGTTTTGCAGAGGGGTCAAATACTTATTTCCCTCATTAAAATGCAAATCAATTTATAACATTTTTGACATTGGATTTTGTTGTTGTTATTCTGTCTCTCACTGTTCGAATAAACCTACCATTAAAATTATAGACTGATCATGTCTTTGTCAGTGGGCAAACGTACAAAATCAGCAGGGGATCAAATACTTTTTGCCCTCACTCTATCTACATACAAACAGTATGGGTATTACATTTTACATTTTAGTCATTTAGCAGACGCTCTTATCCAGAGCGACTTACAGTTAGTGAGTGCATACATAATTTTTTATTTTTTCATACTGTCCCCCCGTGGGAATCGAACCCACAACCCTGGCGTTGCAAACGCCATGCTCTACCAACTGAGCTACATCCCTGCCGGCCATTCCCTCCCCTACCCTGGACGACGCTGGGCCAATTGTGCGCCGCCCCATGGGTCTCCCGGTCGCGGCCGGCTACAACAGAGCCTGGATTCGAACCAGGATCTCTAGTGGCACAGCTAGCACTGCGATGCAGTGCCTTAGACCACTGCGCCACTCGGGGTATTACAGTATGTAACTCTGGTATAGCCTTGGTCTGTTCCCTGTGTGTGTGTGTGTGTGTGTGTGTGTGTGTGTGTGTGTGTGTGTGTGTGTGTGCGTGCGTGCGTGCGTGTGTGTACCTTCATAGATAGCAGTCGTGTCAGGTAGATCTCTGGTATGGCCTTGGCCCTCTCTCTCTCCCTCATGCTGCTCTTCCTGTGTTTGGGGATCTCTGGGTCCTCGCTGGACTTCACCAGGTGCCACAGCCTCACACCCTCCTCCTCCTCCCCCTCCAACATGGGCGTCTCTACGGAGCGCACAGAGGGACACACTTCCAGGTCACACTTGAATTGAAAGGGCCCTGTATTCCCTAACAACAGTGTACTACCAAGGGGAATAAGGTGCTATTTTGGAAGCAGCATTGAAGCTGGAACTTGTTAGCTCTCTTTCCTTCAATAATATAACTACATCAGACCACAACATTGAAGATCACGATCAAATCGTTCCAGTAATGATGTATTGTATTGAAGTAAAACAGCTCTAAAATATGTAACATGTTCTATAGTTATATAGTACTAAACTGGTTATATAGCATTAAACAGGTTATATAGTACTAAACAGGCTATATAGTATTAAACAGGTTATATAGTATTAAACAGGTTATATAGTATTAAACAGGTTATATAGTATTAAACAGGCTATATAGTATTAAACAGGTTATATAGTATAACAGGTTATATAGTATAACAGGTTATAGTATTAAACAGGCTAAATAGTATTAAACTGGTTATATAGCATTAAACAGGTTATATAGTATTAAACAGGTTATATAGTATTAAACAGTTAGTCAAAATGACTAAAATGTAAACAGGTTATATAGTATTAAACAGGCTATAGAGTATTAAACAGGTTAACTAGTATTAAACAGGCTATATAGTATTAAACAGGCGATATAGTATTAATCAGGCTATATAGTATTAAACAGGTTATATAGTATTAAACAGGCTATATATTATTAAACCGGTTATATAGTATTAAACTGGTTATAGAAGTACTAAACAGGCTATATAGTATTAAACTGGTTATATAGTATTAAACAGGCTATATAGTATTAAACTGGTTATATAGTATTAAACAGGTTATATAGTACTAAACAGGTTATATAGTACTAAACAGGTTATATAGTATTAAACAGTCTATATATAGTATTAAACAGGTTATATAGTATTAAACAGGCTATATATAGCATTAAACAGGTTATATAATATAACAGGTTATATAGTATAACAGGTTAGATAGTACTAAACAGGCTATATAGTATTAAACAGGCTATAAAGTATTAAACAGGTTATATAGTATTAAACAGGCTATATAGTATTAAACTGGTTATATAGTATTAAACGGGTTATATAGTACTAAACAGGCTATATAGTATTAAACAGGTTATATAGTACTAAACAGGTTAAATAGTATTAAACAGGTTATATAGTATTAAACAGGCTATATAGTATTAAACCGGTTATATAGTATTAAACAGGTTATATAGTACTAAACAGGCTATATAGTATTAAACAGAATATATAGTATTAAACAGGTTATATAGTACTAAACAGGTTATATAGTATTAAACAGGTTATATAGTATTAAACAGGTTATATAGTATTAAACAGGTTATATAGTATTAAACAGGTTATATAGTATTAAACAGGTTATATAGTATTAAACAGGTTATATGGTATAACATGTTATATAGTATAACAGGTTATATAGTATTAAACAGGTTATATAGTATTAAACAGGCTATATAGTATTAAACAGGTTATATGGTATAACATGTTATATAGTATAACAGGTTATATAGTATTAAACAGGTTATATAGTATTAAACAGGCTATATAGTATTAAACAGGTCGCTGGTTCTAATCCCCGAGCCGACTAGGTGAAAAATCTGTCGATGTGCCCTTGAGCAAGGCACTTAACCCTAATTGCTCCTGTAAGTCGCTCTGGATAAGAGCGTCTGCTAAATGATTAAAATGTAAATGTAAACAGGCTATATAGTATTAAACAGGCTATATAGTATTAAACAGGTTATATATTATTAAACAGGTTATATATTATTAAACAGGTTATATAGTATTAAACAGGCTATATATTATTAAACAGGTTATATAGTATTAAACAGGCTATATAGTATTAAACAGGTTATATATTATTAAACAGGTTATATATTATTAAACAGGTTATATAGTATTAAACAGGCTATATATTATTAAACAGGTTATATAGTATTAAACAGGCCATATAGTATTAAACAGGTTATATAGTATTAAACAGGTATATAGTAAATCGTGATTCTACAGAACGGTTATATAGTATTAAACGGCTTATATATATTAAACAGGTTATATAGTATTAAACAGGCTATATAGTATTAAACAGGTTATATAGTATTAAACAGGTTATATAGTATAACAGGTTATATAGTATTAAACAGGTTATATAGTATAACAGGTTATATAGTATTAAACAGGTTATATAGTATTAAACAGGTTATATAGTATTAAACAGGCTATATAGTATTAAACAGGTTATATAGTATTAAACAGGTTAAATAGTATTAAACAGGTTATATAGTATTAAACAGGTTATATAGTATTAAACAGGTTATATAGTATTAAACAGGCTATATAGTATTAAACAGGTTATATAGTATTAAACAGGCTATACAGTATTAAACAGGCTATATAGTATTAAACAGGCTATATAGTATTAAAAAGGTTATATAGTATTAAACAGGCTATATAGTATTAAACAGGTTATATAGTATAACAGGTTATATAGTATTAAACAGGTTATATAGTATTAAACAGGCTATATAGTATTAAACGGGTTATATAGTATTAAACAGGCTATATAGTATTAAACAGGCTATATAGTATTAAACAGGCTATATAGTATTAAACAGGCTATATAGTATTAAACAGGTTATATAGTATTAAACAGGTTATATAGTATTAAACAGGTTATATAGTATTAAACAGGCTATATAGTATTAAACAGGCTATATAGTATTAAACAGGTTATATAGTATTAAACAGGCTATATAGTATTAAACAGGCTATACAGTATAACAGTTTATTTAGTTTAAACCTGGTGTATTACGCCTATGTACAACAGTATTAGATTAAAGCCAGCTTGGTCCTCTGAACCTTAGAAGAAAACACAAATACATTACAGCATCTCAGTAGTTAAAATATCTACATCGATTAGGAAGAAACCCAGGATTCACATCTCAGTCATTAACGAATATAACAGTTAATAGATAACACAGCAGATTACATCTAGTATTAACAGAAGATTAACGAGTAGAAGAAAACACCAGACATTACCATCTCAGTCAGTTAACAGAAGATATCAACATCGGTTAGGAGAGAGAAAACACCAGACATTCACATCTCAGTCAGTTAACAGAAGATATCAACATCGAGTTAGGAGAGAAAACACAGACATTCACATCTCAGTCAGTTAACAGAAGATATCAACATCGAGTTAGGAGAGAAAACACCAGACATTCACATCTCAGTCAGTTAACAGAAGATATCAACATCGAGTTAGGAGAGAAAACACCAGACATTCACATCTCAGTCAGTTAACAGAAGATATCAACATCGAGTTAGGAGAGAAAACACCAGACATTCACATCTCAGTCAGTTAACAGAAGATATCAACATCGAGTTAGGAGAGAAAACACCAGACATTCACATCTCAGTCAGTTAACAGAAGATATCAACATCGAGTTAGGAGAGAAAACACCAGACATTCCATCTCAGTCAGTTAACAGAAGATATCAACATCGAGTTAGGAGAGAAAACACCAGACATTCACATCTCAGTCAGTTAACAGAAGATATCAACATCGAGTTAGGAGAGAAAACACCAGACATTCACATCTCAGTCAGTTAACAGAAGATATCAACATCGAGGCGTGTTCAGTGAGGCACACATTAGCACAAGGTTTTGAAACTGGACAAGACAGGCTCTACACCTTCCTGTTTTTCCTGTTTTGTGCCTACTGAACAATCCTCTGTACTCCTACTGAACAATCCTCTGTACTCCTACTGAACACGACTCTGTACTCCTACTGAACAATACTCTGTACTCCTACTGAACACGACTCTGTACTCCTACTGAACAAGTAGTGGTTCTATAGTGGTCTCTGTGTGTAGTGGTGGTTCTATAGTGGTCTCTGTGTGCAGTGTGGTTCTATAGTGGTCTCTGTGTGTAGTGGTGGTTCTATAGTGGTCTTTGTGTGTAGTGGTGGTTTATAGTGGTCTCTGTGTGTAGTGGGTTTATAGTGGTCTCTGGTGTAGTGGTGGTTCTATAGTGGCTTGGTGTAGTGGTGGTTATAGTGTCTTGTGTGAGTAGGTTCTATATGGTCTTGTGTGTAGTGGTGGTCTATAGTGGTCGTGTTGTATGTTCTATAGTGTCTCGTGTGTAGTGTGGTTTATAGTGGTCTTGTGTTAGTGTGGTCTATAGTGGTCTCTGTGTGTAGTGGTTCTATAGTGGTCTCTGTGTGTAGTAGTGGTTTATAGGGTCATGTGTGAGTGTGGTTATAGTGGTCTCTGTGTGTAGTGGTGGTTCTATAGTGGTCTCTGTGTGTATGATGGTTCTATAGTGGCTCTGGTGTAGTGTTTCCTGTTGTAGTGGTGGTTCTATAGTGGTCTCTGTGTAGTAGTGGTGGTTCTATAGTGGTCTCTGTGGTGTAGTGTGGTTCTATAGTGTCCTGTGTGTAGTGTGGTTCTATAGTGGTCTCTGTGTGAGTGTGGTTTATAGTGGTCTTGGTTGTGTTATAGTGGTTCTGGTAGTAGTGGTTCTATGTGTCCTAGTGGTAGGTGTCTATAGTGGTCTCTGTGTGAGTAGTGGTCTCTAGGTCCTGTGTGTAGTAGTGGTTCTATAGTGGTCTCGTGTGTGTAGGGTGGTGGTTCTATAGTGGTCTCTGTTGTAGTAGTGGTTCTATAGTGGTCCTGTGTGTAGTGTGGTTCTATAGTGGTCTCTGTGTGTAGTGGTGGTTCTATAGTGGTCTCTGTGTGTAGTGGTGTTCTATGGGTCTTGTGTGTAGTGTGTCTTCTGTTGTTGTAGTGGTGGTTCTATAGTGGTCTCTGTGTGTAGTAGTGGTTCTATAGTGGTCTCTGTGTGTAGTGTGGTTCTATAGTGGTCTCTGTGTAGTGTGGTTTATAGTGGTTCTGTGTGTTAGTGGGTGGGTTCTATAGTGGTCTCTGTGTGTAGTGTGGTTCTATAGTGGTCTCTGTGTGTGTGTGGTTTATAGTGGTCTCTGTGTGTAGTGTGGTTCTATAGTGGTCTCTGTGTGTAGTGGTGGTTCTATAGTGGTCTCTGTGTGTAGTGGTGGTTCTATAGTGTCTCTGTGTGTAGTAGTGGTTCTGTGTGTGAGTGAGTGGTTCTATAGTGGTCTCTGTGTGTAGTGTG